TAACTGTAAAACGACAGTTTAGGATGATTAACTGTAAAACGACCCAGTGTATGATGATTAACTGTAAAACGACACAGTGTATGATGATTAATTGTAAAACGACACAGAGTATGATGATTAACGGTAAAACGATACAGTGTATGATGACTAACTGTAAAACGACACAGTGTATGATGATTAACTGTAAAACGATAAGTGTATGATGACTAACTATAAAACGACACAGAGTATGATGATTAACGGTAAAACGATACAGTGTATGATGAATAACTGTAAAACGACAGTTTAGGATGATTAACTGTAAAACGACCCAGTGTATGATGATTAACTGTAAAACGACACAGTGTATGATAACTAACTGTAAAACGACACAGTGTATGATGATTAACTGTAAAACGACACAGTGTATGGTGACTAACTGTAAAACGACCAGTGTATGGTGATTAACTGTAAAACGACACAGTGTATGATGACTAACTGTAAAACGACACAGTGTATGATGACTAACTGTAAAACGACAAACTGTATAAACACCGTTGAATACATAATACACTTACTTGTTTTTTTTGTACTGTATAAATGGTTCATTATTTATGTGATTTAATGAATATGTAATTCACTGTATAAAAGATATATTTGTTTTATGATATGATAAATAGATAACTCACTGTATAAATGGTACATTATTTTTATGATATAATAAGTAATTGATTCATTGTATAAATGGTACATTATTTATATGATATAATAAATAGTTAATTCACAGTAGTTTTTTTCACACTTCAAAATTCTCTTGTTTTTTCTGTTATATGAATATCTTTTTTATTCAGAAAGCCTTAAGAGTGTTGTTTTTTTTGTAAATGGCAACATTTGACTCACGCCGTTAATTATATTTATTATATTAATTGACTTTGATAATTATACCCGTTCAGTTAATAAACAAAAACGTGGCAAGATTAATAAATTGGTCCTATCGTGATGGATAACAACAAGCTTACATTAGTGGTATTTTTGTAAATATTGCATATTACATAAAATGTCAAGTTTGGTGAAAGGTATAAATAAATGAAAGTAATGCGTCATATTCGACCGTACAAGTCGCGTCAGCACCAATATAATCCCTACTCCACAAGTGGAAGCACACATTCAATGTTGTGTGTGTATGGTTTAATGCAAATTCTAATAAAAGAAAAATATTGTTTAATTTATCGGTACACTTTTATCAATAATAATTTTATGTAAAGGAGGAACAAAATGTAAAACTAACCAGTAACATAAGGCCGATATGAGGGCGAATTCGTGATATATTTTTTTAAGGTGCAAGATGATTGTCAAAATGTTGCATCCAATTCTCTCAAAACCTGAAGCAGGTCACACATACGTTTGGTTTGGTGTCCTATCGACAGCTATGGTCATTTAAGGACGGCAGGTCACACATAACGCCAAAAGAAGTAGTAGTTTAATTGATACATGCGACCTTGATTCTTGAAATAGTGTTTACAAAAACAGTCTTTTTTATTTATTTTAAATTAGACTCTTGAACTTATCTAAAATTGATTTATTGCAATTTGCAATTAAATAGATCAGAAAAATTTGACTGTGCTTGAGCGACGGCTTAAATTGTGTGCGACATCGGGCGACGTGACTTGGCGTGATAATTGTGGCTAGTAGTTCACTTGCTGACGGTGCCGTACACAACCAATGGACAGTTCGTTTTGACCACTAGGGTGTATCCCTGTCCTCATGCGAGTTCAATCGACTTTGAAGTGTTCTAACCAAACACTAGGCTAAAGGACTAATTGAAGTTAATGGCTATGGTAATTGAAAGGTTAAAAGCTATGATATTCTAGTTATTATTTTCTGTGAACATATTTTAAATGGTGCTAGTATTCTCCTATTAATTTGAACATATACTACATCTTCTCTATAATACTCTCTCTCTCTCTCTCTCTCTCTCTCTCTCTCTCTCTCTCTCTCTCTCTCTCTATATATATATATATGTGTGAATGTATGAAATGTATGTATTTTCCTTTAATAGGCAGTGCCTGTTCCTATTCCAATTGTGTTTTAAATACAATAAAATTGATTTGAAATGAAAAACTAATGTGAGTTAATGGTGATACTGAACGTTCCGCCAAGATGTTTCCACCGAACATGAAAGGCAGAGGTTTGCGGCTGATTTGGTTTCTGTGTTTTGGAACATGTTTCATATGCTTTTCGATGACATTGTCAGCTGATTGTTCTTCGTCACGCCTATGTGTAACCAAATGTAACGTGCGGGCGGTGACCTATCCAACTACTAACCACGCTCGACGTTGCTGAACTAGTGAGCGGGTCCCCGGTTATACTGCATCGTGGGAAAAGCTCCCTTGCCAGTAAGGTAGTATGTCCCCCTCAAATTCTTTAGCTGTTACATGTACATATGTTTGACCGGGTCTTCGACATATAACTTTGTTGACCGTTATTTACATGGTTGTAATTATTTTTCGGAGGAATGTTTTGGTTAAATAGCTCTTGAACCACGTCGCCATTTAGCTTCTTCTAGAAACAGATAACGTAACCCTGCGTATGAATACAATTTACACAAAAAACAGCCAATAAACGTGGCTGAATTCTTTTTATACGTGTGTCTTTGTTTTATTTTACTGTACATGATTGTTGTCATATAATAAATATACCTGTGTATGAAGCGTTGATAACATTAACCTGGACTTTTAGTATAATACAAAGGAGTCAAACCATTAAATCAGGCAACCAGCAAGTGCTTCATACCATTAACCTGGACTTTTAGTATAATACAAAGGACTCAAACCATTCAATCAGGCAATCAGCAAGTGTTTCATACCGTTGTAGTACATGTACCTGCTTTAAGTTGGTTCCAGTTGAATACTGGAGTAAATTAATAGTGTAAGTGTTCACAGATTCTTTTAAAAATTGGACAGAATGATTTTAAAGGCATTTAACATTGGAAATATGTATCGTTTTAGTATATCTTACATTTTTGTAATACTTGATGTCGAATTTATAAAGGAGTAAAATGTCAGAGGGTGTTCCTGTCCCACTTCACTGGTTAGCTTGCTATCTTCCTGTTGTCAATGACTGAGGGTGTGATAATGCCTTTTACAGCTTCTGTCAGCTACGTTTTAATAAACCAAGACGGTTGTTATTAGTTTTGAACTTCAAATATTAAAGCTAGAAGCTCGAAAGCTAAGTTATAGCATTGAGTAAATGAATTAGTTGTATGAACAAAATATGATTATATCTTTAAGAATTTAAAATTAATATTACACTACAGCAGTAGTTCGGATCGATTGGTGAGAATATATAGAAAAACAACATTGTCGACAAAAATAAGTTGCAATAAATTTATTAATCTCACTTACATTGTTCTGTATTGTATCGGACATACCGATGAAAATATAACAACAATATTAAATTGAAATGTATACCAGTCGTACTTGTAATTGACATCAACTTCATCGTTGTAACATACGAAATAGTACAAATACAACAAATTATATATATTAATATGTTAGCATCTCGTTGATTTAGTAAATCGCTAGTACTAGTTACATTTGTAAGGTAACTTATATTACTCTATAGATCACAGTACATGATAAGTACTAAGTCATTGAGTTCGTTGCCAGTATGTCACTACGTCCGTGACGACGAAGTCACTGTACATATTACGATCCGCGTTGTGCTTTTGCTTCTAACAAATGAAACAGAGATTTCATATCCTCAATTTCATATTGGCTATCCCGCTTAGCAACAGGTTCAGGTGCAGGGCCTGTAAACACGAAAATAGAATATTGGTTCATTTGAATTCCTGATTTAATCTTTTGCACATATTTTTAATGAGCACAGATATATTGACAAGCATAATAGAACACAGTGCAGTTTCCAAAAATGAGCACAACACAGAAAGTTTGTATAATGAGAGGTATTCTTTTAGAAAGGATATTAAATGGTCAGATTTAAGCTACTTTATTTTTTTACTACAAATTATTTTACAAAATATTGTTGTAGGATTAGGCAAATATATTTCACAGTTATTTGTTAGTTAAACCTAATGTGCACGTGTGTTAACGTGTGTTGACGAAACAGTAGTATACAGACGGTTCTAATAAATCAAAACATACCCGCGCATGTCTTCTTGATGAGGATATCTTCGTGATCTACCAAAGAAGCGAAGTCGTCCACCATGAAGGTAAAGTAGGGGGCGGGGTCAGACGCTATTCCTTGGAGCTCGTCTAAGTCAATACTGCTGCCAACACCTATAGCAACAAACCATATACTTTCAAGCAACAGACGCTGGTACAATACTGTCATGTGTTAATTTACAAACAACTTACTTTAATCTGTTTCCGCGGGGGGAAATTAAAATCAATTTCTTATTTTTCCACTTCGCTACTTATCCTTTTGTATATCATAAGCGTTGCAAGTTTTCTGATTTTGAATGAATACATCTTTTTAATCACATTTAAATGTCAATGTAAATTTGGAATTAACGTTGAGTATATCATCGAAATATGTCTTAACTTTCAGGTTAATAGATAAAGAAGGGAGAAAATGATTTACCGATGGCAAAAAGAGTGATGCCTTGTGCTTTTGCGTTCCTTGCCATTTCTTGTGTTCTCACTTGGTCACGCGACACACCATCTGTAATGATAATGCCAACCTTTGGCACACCGTCACGTGCTCCCGCCCCGGAAGTGAATGATTGCTGCGTCATCATCTCAATGGCCTTGTCTGTATACGTCACTCCGGTAAGATATTTAACCTTGAATTTTTAAAGTAAAGTTTGCATATGACACAAAACAATTCAACGTAACAAAGAAAATCGCCTTTAATCGCATTAACAGTGTTGCAGTTATAGAATGATAATTGTTACATTATTTTTTATGATTTCGAAGTTATGACAAAACTTACAAACTCTGAAAAAGAAGAAAGAATCATCTTAAGTGTGGGCGGTCGATGTATTTGATCACCTGTTTATTTTATAATAACATTGTTTTTATTTCCTTAATATGTGTACGTGTATGGGGACTATTGGAAATATAATAAACTAAGTTTAAAATGGTTATAAATACCTTATATGATATCTAATTGTGTTCAATACTTGGCAAACAAATAATTAAAAAGTACAAAATTGATTACTGCAACATACAGACCAGGCTGTCTCACCTCCGTAATGGCCGACATTATCTCGGCCTCCGACCCGTAGCGGTTTAGGTTGAAGTCGACGTGTGCGTCGTCGGAGTAGGAAACCATGCCGATCTGCACTCCGTCAGGCCCAATGTTGTATTTCTCTACTATACTGGCGATGAAGTCCTTTTGTTTGGCAAAGCTGGCGTCTCCGATACTGGTAGAGGCGTCCGACACTACCACAATATCTGCCTTGTACTGGTTACAGCCTGTCACAATCACCAAACAAGTGCATTTATACTAGCCATGGATTCGAGAAATACATTTTTTTTTTATTATTATTTTAATTTTAAACTGGTCATATTGTTCTTCAATATTTGCATTTAAACTTAAATTAATCTTATTGAGTTGTTAATAATTTTCAACCTCATTATTTCTCTTGTATGTATAAGAACCAAAACACTTACCCTCAGCCAAACTGCATCCAGGTTGTTCTTAAAAAACAAATTAACGAAACTACATTACCAATATGTTATGTATTAGATGGTACGCGGAGATCAGATCTGTCCATACTTAATAACGATGTCAAGTAATGATTAAGTGTATTACTAAGCAACAATTACAGTGACTACGTTATTGTATATACCTTTGCAAATACGGAAGGCGAATTTGTGTTTGAGAGACTCCAGGGCATCCAAATTATCGATCTGGTATACATAGTCTTCTGAGGGCTTGGACGCCATAATATCCAACTCAGGCTTGTACGCACCACCAATTCCTGAACAAGCATAATGTTATTTTCATTATTATTTTTATCTTTAGGAAACAATTGTCATTCTGAAATTAGCATTCGTATTTTTTTCTAAATAATAAGTTATGCCAATTTAGTACACGACATACTAAACGAGGCCTTTGTATGCATCATATATTAACGTTTCACAACTACAAAAGGACTTATTGGAAATTTTTCATTGTTCATACTTGTATGAACACCAAACAATTAGATCCCTATTGCGTGAAGCCCGTCCACTAGGACGTCAGGTAAAAGGTTAATGTATCTGATTAACATAGATATATTGGTCTAAAGATCACTCAATGTCACTGAACAGCTTAGCAATGGAATATGTACAGGAGTTTTTACATAAGATTTGTGAACTGCATATTGTGACAACATAACCTATGCCATGACAGGAAAATATAGGTATTAACGTGTTACTATTATTTTTTGGAAAAGGTAAAGACTAACCAACAGCGAACATCTCAATATTCCCTGTTGCTAGAACATTCTGAGCTGATTGTCTTGTTTTCTTAGAATCAGTCGACTTTCCGTCGGTGACGACGATTCCAATGTGTGAGACCCCGTCTCGGACCTCGGTCAGACTCTGAGATAGGAGGAGGTCGAGAGCTTTGTTGGTATATGTGTTTCCGGTGCTCCAGTCGATGTTCTCTATGGCGTGCTCAAGGCTGGACTTATCCGTGTACTTGCTCAAGGTGAACCGCATCTGGCTTTCGTCGCTGTAGGTGATAACACTAACGTGCGTCATATCCGGTCCAATATCAAACATGTCGGACACATCTCGGACAAAGTCAAGCTCTTTCTTGAAATTGGCTTGGGATCGGATACTGGTAGACTCGTCAAGGATAAAAATAATATCAACTGGGTCTCCGTGGCACACTAGCAAGATAAAACATAATTGTCTCTTAAACACATTTAAACAACACGACCAAATGTTAAAGTAAAAAGAAATTGTATAACATGGTACTTCCGTGGAGTATTAACATGCACGGTTTTCGCGGGAAAAGTGGGACCGTGAATACTAGTACAATGAGTTGACTGACTCAAGTTTTCGAGAACCAGCTGAGTGCACAAAAATGTATCAATGCTATTAATTGTAAACTACGAAAGTAAATCCCAATGAATGTTTAATATGATACAGAAAGTTATATTTTAATATATTTATGACGTAACAAAATGTTAAAAGGTGCATTAGTAACAAAACGTGAAAGTGGTCAATCCGCTAGCAGTAGAGTATTTACACGTATTATTTAACAGAAACATGTATATCTCATATTGCAGCTTTAAATGGCTGATTCGAATATAATAAAGTGAACTTAAAACACAACAGTTCAGCTACCATACTTTTGTTTAACATTTATCAACGAAACTCGACCCGGAACCTATTAGATTATAGTTAATTTGGTAAAACTATGCTATTTAAATTGTCAGTCCATTTCTTATTTTTACGAACCTTCTCGTGCACTGTCGGCGGAGACTTGGCGGCTGTAACGAGCTGAAATACAAAATGAATAATGTATAAGCATTGTTTCATCCAAGTCAAGAGAAGGTAAATCTGCAAAATTAAGAAACCACTACAAAAGTTCTTCTATTACAACATAAAATGGATAATATAAACATTAATATTAAATTAAGTACTTAACTTCCTTTTCCGGATATATACGTACGGTCGTATCACGATGCTGATATTTAGGAAAAAGATATTTAACAAACAACAAAGGTAAAATATTGTCTGTGTACTCACCGTCTGCTGCTCGGCGTGCATTGGTGGTTGTGAATTCAAACGTCGGTGCTTATGAAAGACAAAAAGGATTCAAATGAATCAAGTCTCACAGCATTTTATACATAAACTGTTTAGCCAGGGTACAGCTAAGCATCATAACCGTAGGCAAAATAAACAAGTAGATACTGAAGGGTAAACAAAGCTGAAATCCTCACTCAAAGTCACGGAAACGTTTACACGGAGATCTTGGAAAAAAGAGAATAAGACCAGACGTTCCGGATGGGTAAGCGTCTCCTGTTTCATTTGCGATACTTGCATTGTAAATCTATGTCAAATCAAAGTAATACAAATGTATTAAGTCTTGAAAGTAACAATCAAGAGTAGTGACAACGAAACAACTAAAAAGGCATGGTCAAAAACATACACCTTCATATCAAACAAAAAATAATGAGTCGACATCCTCCGATAGTTTTTTTCGAAATTTTCTAAAGGATCATCCTGAATATTTGAAAGATTTTTGATTGTTTGTCATCAGATGTTAATGAAATCTCAATGTACTTTTGATTGTAACGTATTATATATTTTTATCATGTTTTCATTTGATCATGAAAAACATGATCAAATAAAAACATAATGAATATGAAAAAGTCGTTCAGCACCTGAGATTTTAACAACTCGGCCCAGAAAAACTACAGAAAGATGAACTCTGGAAAGCGTTTACCTCTACATGCGCGACAGGCCAGAAGACTCTTGATGTGTGCGGTATCCAGCTTGTCATAGTTATCCACGATAAAGAAGAATTTGTCGTCAGGCTCCGACGCGATACCTCTGAGTTCCGTTTCATCCACTCCATCTCCGATTCCAATAGCGAACATGTATATTCCTGCCTGTTTGGCCAGCTCTGCCTCTTCTTGTGTCTTTGCTTTGCCCTCACTGTTAGAGTACTGATCGTACGAGCCTGGATTTGTGCCACCATCAGTGAGAACCACAGCTACATGTACAGCGTCGTCTCTGGCACCATTACCAGGCGCAAACAGGTCTGTGCGCATGCGTTCTATTGCCAGATACGTTCTGGTGGCGTCACCTTTGCTGTACCGGATGTTGCTAACAGCATCAAGAATACTGTCACGGTCACTGAAGGCGTTGAATTTGAACTCGTCGAAGACATGGTTACTGAAGGATACCGCTGCGATCTGAACATCATCCGGCACAGATTCGAATGAGTCGACAACGTCGTGGATAAAGGAGGTTTGGCGTTCGAAGTCTTTGACCCATATACTGCTCGACGAATCAACGATAAAGGCTATGTCTAGTTTACATCTCGACATCTCAAGTCCTGTCAACAAAGTAGAACATCGTAAGCGAAGTGAATTTGAATGAAATGATTGAAATTTGTTTTATTATTACATCTTTGAAAATATAATGTCAATTGTTTCACATAGCAAATATAAGTTTCAATACTTCTTTTTCAATGCTTACGAATCATCATCATCATGAGAAGATAAAAAATGTGTAAAAAATGTTTGGTTCAAGAAGGGATTAACATGTTTTACAAGAATAATACTTACCAACGTTTGTTGGAATCTGGAAAAAAAGCCAGGAAAAAATCAAAATGTGAAAATGTTAAACGCTCAAGGAATTCATCAAAACCAAACTTATGTAATCAAATGTTTGGTCGCAAATTTCACAAATATCATTGATCTTAAATAACTACATTTTTGAGAACACGTTTCCTTCGATTAAGTCTCAAACGAACTGTTCGCGAAGAGTAAGCTAGAGGAGCATTAACAGACATGTCATTCTAGTTTAAATAAGGCTGATGGAACAGATTGAGAGAAATCGAAATTTGCTATCTAATAAGATAGTTTGAATGAATATGTCTTTTGTAAATAAAATGATTGAATTGAAAGGAATTTCAGCATAATGCAACGACGTTTTACTTCCTTTGAACCTGTAGTATAAATCAGTCTTAAAATATAAGTATTATTTCGAAACTTAACAAGAGTTAACTAATGTATTTTCGGCATTGGAATAAAAATCACGCTAGTCTCTAGTTTCAGTATCTATTTTCTCTAGAGTGTCATAGCATCTGTTTAAATCGATCCATTTCATAACATTTTCTTTTGATAAGCATAGTAACCTAAATGGAAATCATCCCCAAATAAATCCTAAAATATCTTATGAAACATACGCAAAAACAGTTTTTACCCTTTCATTTTTAAGACATATATCAGCAATACACGCACCTTATCTCCAATATGATATCAAATTTATCTTCTTTCAACATGCATTTCAATCCAATACACAATGCTCAACTACAAAATGGTACTATTCAAGAGATATTTTCAAAAGATTTACTTTTCGAATCCATGCCGCAGTACTTACCAGGAAGCCGAAGGTGAGTAGCAGGGGACACGTAAGGGACCACATTCTCGTTGTCACGTCTGATCGTCGATGACTGTAGCCCTAACATAGCTCCGTTTTATACCATAAAGGAATGGTGCCATTAGGCCCCGTAATTACCTCTAATGCGATCCCAATAACAAGTATCGACATATATAATAAGTTCTGATATTACCACTTTGGTTTTTATAGAATACAAAATTTGATAACGTTAATATTCGGTATACATATTCATTTAGAGCGGTATTTTCTTCGTGAAAGTCATTACTTTAGCAATCAAAAATATAATTAAGTGGTTACAGTATGGTAAAATAGGTCATTTCAGTTAAATATCCCCTGGCAGTTAATTTTTACAGCACCTTTCGTTACATTGACCTTTAAAAGTATGTCCGTAGCAAGTTCGTATATGTAGTCCATAAACAGCCACACAACTTAGTGAAAGCAGTCCTCAAATATTTAAAAAAGAAAACATGATTTTGAATTACCATTCATTATTGGAAATTATTGATGTGATATATTGATAAACGTCATGTTTTCTCTAGAAAACAATCGGCATTCCTTTTGTATGTTTTATGTAGCTAACAACTTGAATTAGTTCCATTCGTAAACTACATTCGAACACTACAGACAATATGGCATTAACTAAACGCTATTAAGGGAAACTATTGGAAAATATGATAAATGGAGAAGAATCATGTAGTTTTATTTTTATGTTCATTGATGTCCACGGTTAAAGACAAGTGGACGAAAATATATATTACAACACCAACAAACAAGAACTTTCTGTAAAGAAATATATATGTACAATAACTGTAGAAATATTTATACAAAACATACAAACTACTGAAATACATAAAAAGCGTAAAACATGATTACAAACATACATAGGTATATATATATATATATATATATATATATATATATAAATAAACGTAAACCATCAGCACAAAAATACGCTGCATGGACGATTGTGTGGTGGAAAGCGACAGCAAAGCTAAAAGATTACACTTTTATCATTACTTTTTTTTTATTAATTTGAATCATTTGTCTTTGCCATATTCAATCATCATGTAAGCAGAAAGAAAAAACAAAGAAGAAGGAAAAATAACGAGCGTAGATTTTGAGATCTCATATTTGTCAAAGATTTGCGTTTGGTAGTGATTTGACGATCCAAAGAACGTTTGTTTGAATTTGAATGCATCGTGATCATTATCGCCATACTGTGTATATATAAACGTTAATATATTTCAACAAACAAATATTTTTTACTCATGTTGACCCGGATAGAAGCGCGCAGGGGGTATATGTGGGCGGAAACCCTAGTACCCGTGCCATACTGTCGGGAAATACCCAGATATGAAACTACAAGAGAACTGTTAAATATCTTAAATGTCAAGTCCTTGAGAACATCTTTAGCAGTGCAAGTATCACTCGAAAATGCTGTTAGTCAAGGGCACAGATTCATCATTTTTTTCCAAATGTAAAATTAAAAAATATGTCAATATCTTATCTCCTTCGCTTGGCATTTTTTTTTAAATAGACTCATCTAACTGAAAACGAATTATATATTCGAAAATCTCCCTCCTTTTTAACAATCGGCATTGTAATCGCATTAACCTAGAGGTTCCTTTGAACTTTGTCTGATTCCCGAGAAAGTTCGCCTATGAATATGTATATATGCATAAATCTGTTGTCAATAATCGACAAATCTTGATAACTGTGTGTCTATGTGATCACTGTAAAATATGAAAATTTAACACCATACAAATATAATAAAAATCATTGGCATACTTTTATGGAAACATTTATCAGGAAAGCGCTTTTAATAAACTATGGAGTTACTTTTATTTTTAAAAAGAGGGTAAAAATATTGTTTGTATGAAAACATGCTTGTAAAATTATCAGATATATCAAGCATACAATGCGTTTACGTATGAACTATATTACTTATTTCATTTTTATGTACATATGTATTTTAATTACAAAACTAATGACCGATATGTACAAATTGGAGATTTTTCACATTTACCGGGCCAGATTTCCACATGCACATGTTCCACGTTTTTGATATCACTCGTTGAATCACTTTATATGATCGTGCATCTTGCGCAAGAATAGGTCCTCTACATCAGCGTTCCTTGTCCGCGATGCTCTCAGCTTAATTGCTGCCTTCGGCTGTCTTCAGCCGAGGGGACTATTGGTTTTATATAATAGCTATATTTTCAATTATAGTATATAAATTCTATCTTCTTGTAATATGATGTATATGTACACGTAACTGTTGTGTTTCACGGTGTCTTGAAAAAGGAGCGGAACGCTCCGAAAATTTGACAACCTAAACTTGTCCACACTGTTGGAATTACTTCTTTGCCCCATATATACATAACTTGATGTACATGATGCATTGAATTTCTAGTGCATTATACCATTCCCTAGCAGAATGCTAACATATCAAATCGTGCTCCTCACTTGGTCAAATTTTTTTTTTATATGAGGCTGAATTCATCAACTAGTCTTTGAGGACTGGCATAAAATACAAAACCCTTCAATTTCACTATACGATATATTGACAATATGTTTTCCTTAAATTACATGAAAGTTAAGCCTCAGTCAAAACGGAACATACAATTTCTCGATCGGGAGACTAATGGCAATTTGGCGAAGGTACGACCAATTAGCAATGTTTGCTACGATCTCAATTGGTGATCGCATACTGCGATTGCTCTAAGATTGTTGGTAGGTCATCGCACGACTGGTGGTCAAGTTGTCGTACGATTACCAACGATTGAACAATATCGATCGCAAGATCAATCGTAAGTAATCGTACGATCAATCGTGGCCACTTGCGACCACTCGCGCAAGCGATCGCAACGCTTACCAATCGTAGCAGGTTGCAGCCGGTCGTGTGATGGGTCACTCGATCAGTTTGGCGTAGTTGCTGTAGAAGTACCGCCTCGCGATCAAGGAACGCACCAAGTACTGGCGCTTTCTTCTCTTTTTACGCTACTTCCTTTCTTTGCAGAATAACGGATGCCGCCACAGCACCAAACTGTCGTTGTTGCTCAATCATGGGAGCTAACATGAGTTCTATACCCGGCACAAATTGTATGCTCGCCATAGCTCTCTTTTGGTGTCTTAGTGGAAAGTGGCTTGAATCCCAGAAGTCACTCAAAACACATTCGTTCGTGGGCTAAAGACTGGTGGTACCACCTATCGTAAGGGCGTGCAGCCAGTCGACACTGGTCGCACTACCGATCGTACGACAGGGGCAATCGCAAGGTGGCAGAACCAGTAGCACGACCAATCGTGCGACTACTTGACCCGCGATCATGCACTAAGGTGCGTCTATGCGTTACTGGGCGTGCGACCATGTAAGACCTGTCTGCGACCTCTTACGATTTGGAATCGCAGTTTTGAACATGACCATCGACCTTCATGCGATCGATTTTGATCGTGCGAACACCCACGACCTCTGCGACTAGTTGCACGACCTTTTTACGATTTGTCTGCGATTCCAATATTTTTCAGTCGCAGCAAGGTTGTATCCTGGTCGCAGACCCGGTGTGACTGAGGCTTATCTACGTGATCGTATATACCGACCTGATCCAGAAAACAAGGGTTCTACAGACTGTTCTACAACAGTTGTGTACTTCAATCTGTACCTACACAGACGTTGTACTACTAAGCTGTATACAACCGGAACGATTTTCTTTTTTTTAATCGGTCACATTCATTTACTTTTATAGCAACATCCCCAGTTCGACAGCTGCAACATTCTCTAACTAGGTATTATTATCATTATCATCAATATATCTCGTGGTGTCGTACTTTCTTTTTAGAATACGACGTAATTAAAATATACTTAGCGGGTATCCTCTTTGAAGCAGATGATGCCCACCCTTCCGGAACGTCTGGTCGCATTTTCCAAGCACTTGTAGGAGTCTCCGTGTAGTTTTTTCCATTGTTTATTCCATAGTTGGAAATGACGTCATGATAACAAAATTGTATCGAAGTAGACAGAACTATCTCTAGTAGCGGAATCCCTGCACAACATGTATAGCCTTCATCAAGCTATAGTTTATACAAAGTTCCCTAATACAAGTAGGTCAAACGATTTCATACGAGAGTGTAAATAACAAAGCGTCTGATATCACTCATCTGCCAGTGTAATGGCCCAAAAACCTGCTGACTGTTTATTATTTATTAAATAAACAACTTAACGAACACTCCTTTTATATTTCTTTATTCACAAAAACATCGGACAAAATAATATCCAGTACACTCCCAGGATATACATACATCACAGGTATCGAAAGCGAGGTCACACTAAGTGAGGTTACAACCATCATTGATCCCTAAAACATATGACAGCGTTTGACGTCCCCGTGTGGTGATCTCGGATATATAAAATGTGTATACATCACCGCAGGGGTATATGTGGTCCTACTACAGAAATAAATGGTCATACCATATCAAGATAATATCCAATATATTGTACCACCTTTAAATCATAACATCCGCTCCCTTTTTTTTTTATAAAAAACATGGTTTACTCTCAAAGAAACTAAAAATAACACATTTATCTAAATATATTAGCAGTACTAGGTACAATGTAAGCATAATTATACTGATGTCATAAGGCGACTTGAATTAATTGTCCGTTTGCAAAGGAAATAAAATAATGTTAAAGACATATATTTTTGTTGGTACAATATGTTATTCTCGTCCTACTGTACTGTCCTTTACTTATTAAACTCAAAAACATCTTCATGAAACAAGACACTCACAGCAAACAAACAAAAGTATCAAACTTTAAACATCACAATTCAAATATGATTTAGTTCGACACATCTGACATGATCATCAAACCCCAGGACCAAATTCTATCTTCATAACATAATGTCTTTATACATCACGTTTCCAAACTACAAATTAATCGCACACACCAGAAAGTTAATATACGCTAACTGTTGATAACTGCATCAGATTAAAACCATTATTTAGGATAAACCATGATTAAACTAAATACGAATACACGGTCCAGCTATGAAAATATAAACAAATTTTCATGCGAGGGGAAAACCCGTGTTTAACACAATAAAACCGTATCGGTCACATGTTTAAGTCGCTTCTGTGAAAAAGAATGATTTTGAAATTATACAGGAAATCTTTGATGATGTAATATTGAGATTTGTGCTTTCAGTGACCTACATTGGCCATCTTGTATTCGACCCTAGGTGAGCCCTATTTGAAGTATGTTATCCGTCATGACGATGTTCATAAGCCATAATAATGATTTAATACATTAATGTCAAAATCTAATTTACATCTTATTCATACAAAAATTATTTAAAAACAGAAACATTCTCACAAAATAACAAAGAATCAAAAACAAACACCTGTTAAGTTCTATAAAACGACTGATAAGAGGTACACTGTAATAAAACAACCAAACGTACCTATAATATTTTGTATGATACCTAGATATCATACTACAGTGAATATAGAGCTGTCAAACATACGACATATTGTTTAGTAATGATTCCATTCGTATATAAATTGCATTAAAATTCATAAAGATATAAAAACAGTTTTCAATCGTCATAAGATTGCCCGGCTAATAATTAGTTGAAGTGTGAACCGTTATAGTGAAGCTAGTTCATGACACAGTAGTGACAAATGGCACACGGCCAAACCATGATACTCTCTTCTATGAATATCCGTAAGTCGACCAACTGAACAATTTAGAAGGTACAACTGGACAAACATAAAACTGAACAATTTAGAAGGTACAACTGGACAAACATAAAACTGAACAATTTAGAAGGTACAACTGGACAAACATAAAACTGAACAATTTAGAAGGTACAACTGGACAAACATAAAACTGAACAATTTAGAAGGTACAACTGGACAAACATAAAACTGAACAATTTAGAAGGTACAACTGGACAAACATAAAACCGATAGTCCTGAATCCATCGTTGTTGTCATTGACATTAGCGTCCTCAGACAAAGACAAAAATGTAATTCAAAGTTTATAAGAAATGAGAAATAAGTTGATTCAAAACTAAATAAAAGATACCATAAGGAACCAACTAGGTACGTATTCCGTTTTTGCGTATTGCAGAGTTACCTTCTCTTGTGAGCAGGTATTGATTGTTACGTCATTGGTTTGTGAGAGTAACGTCATCAATTTTTGAGAAAACGACGTAATTTTCTCACACAAACAGATGACGTAACAATCAATACCTGTTCCCAAGAGAAGATAACTCTGCAATACGCAAAGACGGAATCCAACTTCTCTGATCAACATAATAATGTCCAAAGGAGTCAACTTGATAACAATTATATTAGTTATATACAACAATACACAACCGACAAAATGTTTGGTTTACCAACACACTTCTTGTTGATGGTACAAACAACGCATGCGCATTACAGACTTTGAACGACTTGACGCTGCTTTGATATTTTATATTGTCAATTTTAGTCAGGTACAATGTAAGATGATATTAAAATATGAATTCAAATTAAAAACTGATTCAATGAAAGATGACAACATTCACACATAATATAACACTATTAAAAGTGACACATTACTTCCTATTTGTTTTTTACAGTTTTATTTCTTTTGACATCACAATCATATTTTAACCAAATATAAAGTATTTTTTTCATATCATCAACAACAAATTCTACCTCAAGTCTGCGTTTAAATGCTAAATGTAAGGACATAGTCTACATGACAGTTCATTTTTATCATGTTCACACCTTCAAACCAGTCCAATACATGTTAAATCATCAGATCTTGACAAATCTCAGTTTCTCATTGATAATATGCAAACCCAGTTCATGCTTAAGCAGGTATCAGCCTCTCTCCTCTGCTCTCTGGTTCATACTGACATGGTAAACCAATCATCCATAGACAGACCTTTGCTTGTCTCTCACAAATTACAGGTAAAAGCAACCATATTAAGACAAACCTCAGCATCCATCTCAATAATTAAGATACTTAAAACAGCATCTGACACTCATTCAATAACTACATGAACCCAATCGTAATGAAGACATGCCTCTGACCTCACTCATTAATAACTTGTTAAACCTTAGACATAACTCCACCCCTTTCTCTCGTGTACATGTACTTTCATATCAAACACCAAATCCAAACGTTGGAGCTTTCTAAAAATGTTCTAGTCACCATGGTTCAACACATTGTAACTTCATCCTAAACATTATGTCAGTCTCGTTTGGTCACAGACGTGATTAAACCTCCTGCAAATAAAAGCAAATGCAAGCAGTGCAGTTTATATTTTAGACCAACGGACAGAAAGAGGAAATGTTCTGATAAGTTGAAATAATATAAACAGCCAAAATGTTGGTCATTTTTTTCACAATTTATTCATTTATTTTGTAAAGTTATGAAGTTGATTATATTGAATTGCTGAGAGAATAATCTACCATAAAAAATCCAGATAAAACGTTTAATGTCCTATTAACAGCTAAGGTCATTTAAGGACGTGCCTCCATATGTGTTGCGTTGTGCTAGCTTACTGAAATACTATGCCAAAGGCACCCAGCACAGCATTCCGCCCGGTCACATTACACTAACAACGGGCGAACCAGTTGTTGCCATTACCCTTAATGCTGAACGTTAAGCAGGGAATAACAACTACCATTTTATTTAAGGACTGTGGTATGTCCCGGCCTGGGGACAGAACTCATTGCCTTCCTAACTCGGGCGAATGCTCAACACTAAGGCTAAAAGTGGGGTATTGACAGTTTAATCTACCATTACATTGCTGATATAGTAAGCGTAGTTGTTAATGTTCCGAAGACAGTGATTCTAAAACTTACTGTGCGTGGTTGATGTTGTGGCGCTGTGTTCGACAGTTTTTCCCCCAATGACAATCTGGTCTAGCTGTCACTTCACCTAGAAATATTGCACAATTATGTTCTACATTATGTACTATAACTTTGCTTAAAAACTTACATGAGAAATATATCAAAACTAATAATTATAATTTCAATCTTTCTTCATATAAAATGATGATGGCAAAATGCACGACAGAAAGCTTGTATTACATGCAAAACTAAAACACTAATGTTATAACATTCTAAACTTATAGTCAATTGTTAAGGATCTGTTCAGGTGAGAAGCTATGTGAGAAAAAAGCTATCCTCTTATAATTATATAAACTATGACACATAAACAACCAAACAATGTTACATTCAGTAAATCAAATTCAACAGCTGACCAGACTTTTTCGTATCTTATAAACTTTTTCTTTATGATATTACTAACGATATTGTAAAATTAATGATAATGGCATAATGAAGAAAGGAAGAATTCTCTGGGAAATTTGTTTTACATAATACATATCTGTGCACTAGTCTGTTAATTCAGTGGCTGATAGCAGGTGATGCTGATCGTAAAGTTACTTAAAAGCAGGTAAGATGATAGATTTTCCAACGATGTGATATTTGATTAGTTGTCATTGATCTAGGTTTATCTACCTATGTTAAACTCTAAATTCTCTGCCGTTTATTCTTTTAGCTTCGATGTTAAATTGTCCTGTACATGATGTGATCAAATTTGTGTTGAACAAATTATTTCACCCATTAAGTAAACAGTCAGAAGGTTTTATGTATCAAACTTTTCTGCTATATAACGCGTCTATGTTAGTCAGAATGATTACATTGATCAAATATTTGTGCACTACATTATCGTTCGTGCAGTAAACGGTGAATCTTTGTACACCTGTTATTTTTATGGAAGTAAACATTCAAGTTCTCATAGGTCAAATCTTTGACTATGTATCACTTTATCTGAAGCAAACATTCAGGAGGTTTTAGGTCATTTCTTGATAATTGCATTAATTTCTTATTTCTTTTACTGGAATAAACAGCCAGAATGTTTTTCATGAATACAATCTTTGTTCAACATTTTAATTTATCCAAAGTTAACAGTCATGGTATTTTCATCAATAAAATCTTTATATATCATTTTACTTTTATCTAAAGTCACAACATTTTTAATTTGTTATGTATTTATTTCTTGAAACATTTAAATTTTAATTACACCTAATAAACCAGTGCCTGAGCGACCTGAATGAAATCCTCCTAATATTACCTACAAAGTAATACTTAAAAACGTTCTGAAACATGGTGCCACAAAAATCCACCAATCCCCACGTTCTATAGATATTTTAAATACTTACTAGAACAGGCCACCAAACATGTCTGTTCATCAGTATTATTATTAATATCCCCCATACATCAATTTTGGTAAGTAGCCTGGTAAAGCTATACACCTTCATTATCGATAATCAAGCACTGCTAATGATAATCAACAAACCAATTTCACAAGCTGTCAATCACAAGAGTTTACAACAATTTTTTTATATATCATAATATTTATACTATACAAACACAATCTAAATCACATCATTATATATAATGGGAAAACTGTATTTAATGTTCTGTTATCAGTTGGTAATGAGGGTTTACAAAAAATGTTCCTATAAACTATAAGGCTATAATTGCGGACATAACTGTAATAAGAGCTGATTAGCTCTGATGAAAAGACTGATGGTGATATTTTGACAAATTATAGACACACCCGCTGATGATATTTATTACTCAGATCAGTTCAAAACCCCAGATAACCAGTGATGAATAGTGACTCAACTCGTCACTTTACTCATTGAATCCACTAGATGTAGGAAGAGAAGAGGGAATTTGTGGGTAGTAAGAAGGGGTTACTATTTTTTTACAGAAAGTAACAAAATTTTAAACTTCAGTTTCAAATTATTAACACCTTCATATAACAATTTAATAACATATTAATTGAAGCAAATAGCTGTGTTATCTATCAAAAGGAAATTGCTCTCCTGTGAAACTAAGTACACATGTACTTACAGAAAACTACCTTAGAAACTAATTTGGGTGACTGTCAGACCACTCCAAGAGGTAGTAGGGCAGAACAGTGATTATGATGAAACTTCCAAACGATACTATATACTTCACAATTTAGTTCATAATCATGTAATATGAAATCAATACATGTCTTGATCCTGGTAGCTGAAACTATGTAATATGAAAACATGACGATGGCTACATAGCAGGCTGAAACATGTTGACAGCAAATAACACAACACGTCCTAGTGGTGTTTTGTTCTTTTAGTGGACTTTTACACATGTAGTATGTTTTATTAGTAAGGAGCTCTATAGAATCCACTCACGGATCTACCCTAGGAAGCTACCACAAAGTTCTACATCAGGACCTCTATAGAATCCACTCACGGATCCACCCTAGCTATAGGACGCTACATTGTACCACAAAGTTCTACATCAGGACCTCTATAATCCACTCACGGATCCACCCTAGGACGCTACCACAAAGTTCTACATTGGAACATTAGGAGTGTTGGATCACTAATTATTTGTCAAATATTTCTAATGGTAATAAATCAAAGCATTGAACATTTCTAAGTCAATAAAAAAAAGTACTATATAACTATAAAATTCATGTCTTTTTTTTGCCAACAGATGCCAATGGATTTTAAACAATTTTGAGAATGCCATCATCTAGGTATGAAATGACAGGGATACCCAAAACGTGGACAAACTTCAGTTCGGTAAAATCTGCTCCGATGTTCTTGAGAAGACAAATTCAACTCTGTCAACAAGAAGTTCTAGAGTGAAGTAACAAAAAGATTGATAAAGCCATGAGATAGTTTCACCAGAAATATTGGTGTATTTAAATGTTTAAAATGTCTCTGCAGAAGAAAATCATGGCAATCGTTTGGGATTTTGGAAACATTTTTGTCATAATATCTCTAAAATGTCCATACCATGACCTGGAGCAAGGCCAGACTCCGACATATAAATCTTGGTAGCATGAATGTATTCATCTCTTGATGCTAATGCAAAATATATAAAATTTTAGGGTGGAGGTATCAGTCATTTGTTTCCAATAGATGATCAAGTGACTTAATCCCCTGGTGCAAGGTAGGAATTTGAACCTGGGCCAATCCTCTTAACATTGATGTATTTGTCTAATTATACTCTACTTATTATGTACGTGGTTATATGATGTAGCATTCAGGTGTTTTATGAAGTAGAGCATTACACTAAATAATCCTACATTGGGATCCATCCCTTCTTGGGAGTTTCACCAACTTCATGAAAACAACAACAATATATACAGATTTACATTATTACCATGGTTACAGGAACTTACCAGGTAAATTGGCCTTTGGAATACTGAACCGGAAGAGGTAAGCCAAGTCTTTAAATTTCCTTAGTGCACATGGGTAACAGAGGGGGGTGTCACCATTTATTGGTACTGCTGTAGGATCTGTAACAGAAAATCCATTATCTTACAATTTCAGTTCATTAGTGAACATTGATCAACAATCCGTACTGCTGTAGGATCTGTAACAGAAAATCCATTATCTTACAATTTCAGTTCATTAGTGAACATTGATCAACAATTCATTGTATTAATTAAGTGATGTTAGCAGCTAGTCATTACATTTGAAAAAAGAGCAGATCTACAGCAAAGTTACATAATACACATTTTTGTTGAAACAAAGAAAGAAACTTTAATATGTAAAATTATCAGAGAATAGTGGGGGAATGTCACTGCATATTTGTCCATGATGGTGGCCCAATTTTTAACAAATCTGATACATTAATCGGGGACAACAATCTAAAGGCTTTCATACTTGCATGTGAGAGGTAGAAAAGTAATTGGTATAATAACAAATTAAAAAGACTTTGCAGAAGCTTTTACTCCAAATTTAAAACCTTGAAGGTGGAACTAATCTGTCTTTAACATACAGGTATGAAAGGGTATTTTTATCGTGTCTGGAATCAAGAAAATATCAAATTGAATATATTGTGAGTAAAATATATTTTCATGTTCCCAAGTTTGACATGTGTCCATTTGATTATAAAGCATGATGTCATTGACTTATTTTGTACCATTATACAGAAAACAAGAGGCCCAGAGGGCCTGTATTGCTCACCTGGAAATCAAAGCAATTATGGCAAAATATTCTCCTAATGAGATCGAAGGGAATAGGCAAGACCCCAAGGCCAACCCTTGTAGCAATCTGTATTAGATTTTTCATGCCTAGCAACTTTATGTATGGTTATGGGGTGGGGATCTCAACTGTTTCCAAGCTGTGAATCAGAAACTAGGTCCCTAGGGTTGTGGCCAGACCCCTGGGGTCAATTCTAATATGATGACTGCATTCGTCTTTTTATGCCCAGCATTTGTATATATAGTTTTGGGGTGGGGATCAAAACCATTTAAAAGTTATGACCCAGGGGTTGAGTCTGCAAGGGTGGGAAACACCCTGGGGTCAATTCTAATACCATGACTGCATTCGTCTCTTTATGCCCAGCAATTGTATATATAGTTTTGGGGTGGGGATCATAACCATTTAAAAGTTATGACCCAGGGGTTAAGTCTGTAAGGGTGGGGCAGACGCTGGGGTCAATTCTAATATCATGACTGCATTCGTCTCTTTATGCCCAGCATTTGTATATATAGTTTTGGGGTGGGGATCATAACCATATAACATTTATGACCCAGGGGTTAAGTCTGCAAGGGTGGGGCAGACCCTCGGGACAATTCTAATATCATGACTGCATTCGTCTCTTTATGTCCAGCATTGTATAAATAGTTTTGGGCTGGGGATCATAACCATTTAAAAGTTATGACCCAGGGGTTAAAACTGCAAGGGTGGGGCAGACCCTGGGGGGAAAGAATCAGCTAGCCAATAGTTCCACCCTAGTTATTAATACAGAGAGAGGGGAGGGGGGAGAATCACTTAGCCAATTGTCCCCCCCTCCCCCACTTATTACTATTACAGAGGGGGAAAAAATCAGCTAGCCAATAGTTTCCCCCTGATTACTAATACAGATGGGGAAAGAATCAGCTAGCCAATAGTTTTCCCCCTATAGCTACTTATACAGAGAGAGGGGGGGGGGGGGGGGGAAGCAGCTAGCAGGCTTGTTTAGATGTGATGTGAAAATCAGCATGTAAACTAAGTGAAATCCAATACTAATGTCATGTCATCAAAGGATAATAATTTTAAAATATTGGTAAATGTTCCCTTTGAGGCCAAACCCTAGCGACTGGGTATGGGGCAGGAATCCCAATTCTATAATGTAATACCCTCATTCACCAAAGATGATTCTGACTAAGTTTGAGTAATTTTCTGCTGAAAATGGATAAAATATACCCAAAAGTGTTGTTTCCCTAAATAAACTATAGTAAACTTTACCCCCTCCCCAAGGGAGAACGGATAGCTTGGGGGTCCTGAAATTTACAATTAAATAAACCCCCTGATGATCTTTCCATCAATGCAGAGAAAATGACTTTAATACCTCTGAGTCTGGAGAAGAAGATTTTTGAAATATTGGCTAATTTTCCGTTTTGGGCCCCGCCCTGGCCCCTAGGGTTGGGGTAGGAATCCCAATTTTACAATTTAAAACCATCTTCCTCCTCCAAGGATAATTCTCACCAAGTAAAAATAATTTCCAACAGAAAATTGTCAAAATATACCCAAAAGTGTTGTTTCCCTATATAAACTATAGTAAACTTTACCCCCTCCCCAAGGGAGAACGGATAGCTCGGGGGTCCTGAAATTTACAATTTAAAGAAAGCCCCTGATGATCTTTCCATCCATGCAGAGAAAATGACTGTAATACCTCTGAGTCTGGAGAAGAAGATTTTTTAAAATATTGGTTAATTTTCCCTTTTGGGCCCCGCCCTGGCCCCTAGGGTTGGGGTAGGAATCCCAATTTTACAATTTAAAACCATCTTCCTCCTCCAAAGATGATTCTGACCAAGTAAAAATAATTTCCAACAGAAAATTGTCAAAATATAACCAAAATTGTTGTTTCCCTATATAAACTATAGTAAACTTTACCCCCTCCCCAAGGGAGAACGGATAGCTCGGGGGTCCTGAAATTTACAATTTAAAGAAAGCCCCTGATGATCTTTCCATCCATGCAGAGAAAATGACTGTAATACCTCTGAGTCTGGAGAAGAAGATTTTTTAAAATATTGGTTAATTTTCCCTTTTGGGCCCCGCCCTGGCCCCTAGGGTTGGGGTAGGAATCCCAATTTTACAATTTAAAACCATCTTCCTCCTCCAAAGATGATTCTGACCAAGTAAAAATAATTTCCAACAGAAAATTGTCAAAATATAACCAAAATTGTTGTTTCCCTATATAAACTATAGTAAACTTTACCCCCTCCCCAAGGGAGAACGGATAGCTCGGGGGTCCTGAAATTTACAATTTAAAGAAAGCCCCTGATGATCTTTCCATCCATGCAGAGAAAATGACTGTAATACCTCTGAGTCTGGAGAAGAAGATTTTTTAAAATATTGGTTAATTTTCCCTTTTGGGCCCCGCCCTGGCCCCTAGGGTTGGGGTAGGAATCCCAATTTTACAATTTAAAACCATCTTCCTCCTCCAAAGATGATTCTGACCAAGTAAAAATAATTTCCAACAGAAAATTGTCAAAATATAACCAAAATTGTTGTTTCCCTATATAAACTATAGTAAACTTTACCCCCTCCCCAAGGGAGAACGGATAGCTCGGGGGTCCTGAAATTTACAATTTAAATAAAGCCCCTGATGATCTTTCCATCCATGCAGAGAAAATGACTGTAATACCTCTGAGTCTGAAGAAGAAGATTTTTGAAATATTGTTTAATTTTTCGTTTTGGGCCCAGCCCTGGCCCCTAGGGTTGGGGTAGGAATCCCAATTTTACAATTTGGTAGCCTCATCTACCAAGGATGATTCTGACCAAGTTTGAAAAATTCCATCCACTGGTTCTTGAGAAGAAGTTGATAATGTAAAAAGTTTACGCACGACGCACGACGGACGACGACGGACGGAAAGTGATTGGAATAGGTCACTTGAGCAAAGCTCAGGTGACCTAAAAACCTGGTTCAATCCTTTATGAAATGAAGATGTGACCCTTACCTCTGAAGGTAAATTCTCCGGTATCAACTTTAGCAAGACACTGGTCCAGTACATACTTCACACTTAGGTTACTCTTTTCCAAATAATTCTGAAAATATAAACAAAACATTTTATGTTTATACGTCATGCATACACAATCTTATACATATAATAATGATTATGTTTAAATACAGTAAACATACTTCATTTAACATACTCAAATTTCAGCGTATTTTCAAATTTTAACATATTAAGTAATTAACACATTGACAAATTAGTGTGTAATGAAATATATGCAGTGAAACATAACACATATCTATTAGATACTAACATAATCATACTACAATTAAAACTATCATAAATGAAGACAATTCCAAAGTGAGAAATAAGCACTAAATGTTTACAGTATAAATACATGGGTGATGTTTTGTAAAGGTTGATAAATCATATTTATATTACACTACATGTTTTGATCCTTGTAACTGAAATAGTCACTGAAACTTAAAAAGAAGAACTAAGCACCATAAGAGGACCTGAACCACTGGGAGCATATGTAGCAGAAATAAACAAGAGGCCCAAGAGGGCCTGTATCGCTCACCTGAATATTTAAGCAGTCATAGCAAAATATTCTCATTAAATATTATATTGCACTAAAAATATTTCCCTCACAAACTTTGTTGGCTCCATCTGTTGAAACTACCAGCAAAATATTATTACAAGAGTCTATGCTTTTTGATTCTTCAGAGGCTGCTTGACATTTTTTTCCCTGTGACCTTGTAAGTAGGTCAATGTCATTTTCCTTCTCAAATTGGTAAGCTCTATTCGAAAAGCTACCAGCCAAATCTTATGAATCCATTCCTTTTAGTTCTTAAGAACAAATCCATTAAAATGTTGTTGACCTATGTGACCTTGAAAGTAGGTCAAGGTCACTTTCATTCGCAAACTTTGTTGGGCTCTTTCCCAGGAAATAACCAGCCTAATATTAAGGTTCTATAACTTCCAGTTCTTCAGAAGAAGTCATTTGAAGTGTTTGACATATCTGCCTCATGTGACCTTAAAAGTAGGTCAAGGTCATTTTCATTCTCAAACTTTGTTGGGCTCTTTCCTAGGAAGCTACAAGCCAAATATAAAGATTCTATACCTTTCAGTTCTTCAGAAGAAGACATTTGAAGCTTTTGACACATTTGACCCCTGCGACCTTGAAAGTAAAACAAGGTAATTTTCATTCTCAAACTTTGTTGGGCTCCATCCCAGGAACCTATCTGCCAAATATGAAGATTCTATACCTTTTAGTTCTTCAGAAGAAGTCGTTTGTAGTTTTTGACATATTTGAGCCCTGTGACCTTGAAAGTAGGTCAAACTAATTTTCTTCCTCAAACTTTGTTGGGCTCTATCCCAGGAAGCCACCAACCAAATATAAAGATTATATACCTTTCAGTTCTTCAGAAGAAGACATTTGAAGCTTTTGACACATTTGACCCCTGCGACCTTGAAAGTAAAACAAGGTAATTTTCATTCTCAAACTTTGTTGGGCTCCATCCCAGGAACCTATCTGCCAAATATGAAGATTCTATACCTTTTAGTTCTTCAGAAGAAGTCGTTTGTAGTTTTTGACATATTTGAGCCCTGTGACCTTGAAAGTAGGTCAAACTAATTTTCTTCCTCAAACTTTGTTGGGCTCTATCCCAGGAAGCCACCAACCAAATATAAAGATTATATACCTTTCAGTTCTTCAGAAGAAGACATTTGAAGCTTTTGACACATTTGACCCCTGTGACCTTAAAAGTAGGTCAAGGTCATTTTCATTCTGAAACTTTGTTGGGCTCTTTCCTAGGAAGCTACAAGCCAAATATAAAGATTCTATACCTTTCAGTTGATCAGAAGAAGTCTTTTGAAGTGTCTGACACATTTGACCTCTGTGACCTTGAAAGAAGTTCAAGGTAATTTTCATTTTTAAACTTTGTTGGGCTCCATCCCAGGAACCAATCTGCCAAATATGAAGATTCTATACCTTTTAGTTCTTCAGAAGAAGTCGTTTGTAGTTTTTGACATATTTGAGCCCTGTGACCTTGAAAGTAGGTCAAACTAATTTTCTTCCTCAAACTTTGTTGGGCTCTATCCCAGGAAGCCACCAACCAAATATAAAGATTATATACCTTTCAGTTCTTCAGAAGAAGACATTTGAAGCTTTTGACACATTTGACCCCTGTGACCTTAAAAGTAGGTCAAGGTCATTTTCATTCTGAAACTTTGTTGGGCTCTTTCCTAGGAAGCTACAAGCCAAATATAAAGATTCTATACCTTTCAGTTGATCAGAAGAAGTCTTTTGAAGTGTCTGACACATTTGACCTCTGTGACCTTGAAAGAAGTTCAAGGTAATTTTCATTTTTAAACTTTGTTGGGCTCCATCCCAGGAACCAATCTGCCAAATATGAAGATTCTATACCTTTTAGTTCTTCAGAAGAAGTCGTTTGTAGTTTTTGACATATTTGAGCCCTGTGACCTTGAAAGTAGGTCAAACTAATTTTCTCCCTCAAACTTTGTTGGGCTCTATCCCAGGAAGCCACCAACCAAATATAAAGATTCTATAACTTTCAGTTCTTCAGAAGAAGACATTGGAAGCTTTTGACACATTTGACCCCTGTGACCTTGAAAGTAAGAAAAGGTCATTTTCATTCTCAAACTTTGTTGGGCTCCTACCAACAAAGCTTTCAGCTAAATATCATGACTCTAGGCCTGTCCGTTCTTCAGAAAAAGTTGTTTAAAGGAAAAGTTGACGGACGGACGGACGCCGGACGCCGCACAACGACATAAGCTCACTTGCCCTTCGGGCAGGTGAGCTAAATAGAAATTATTAAAAAAGAAAACATTATTCTCTACAAGAAAAAATACAGTAACAGATTTAAAGAACGAGGGACAGGAGAAACTCCTAGTACTATAATGGGACAAGAGGGACTGGAGAAACTCATAGTACTATAATGGGACATGAGGGACTGGAGAAACCCCTAGTACTATTATGGGACATGAGGGACTGGAGAAACCCCTAGTACTATAATGGGACATGAGGAACTGGAGAACCCTAGTACTATAATGGGACATGAGGAACTGGAGAACCCTAGCATTATGATGGGACATGATGGAATAGAGAAACTCCTGGTACTTTAATGGGACATGAGGAACTGGAGAACCCTAGTATTATAATGGGACATGACGGAATAGAGAAACTCCTGGTACTATAATGGGACATGAGGAACTGGAGAAACCCCTAGCACTATAATGGGACATGAGTGACTGGAGAAACCCCTAGTACTATAATGGGACATGAGGGACTGGAGAAACCCCTAGTACTATAATGGGACATGAGGAACTGGAGAAACCACTAGTACTATAATGGGACATGAGGAACTGGAGAAACCCCTAGCACTATAATGGGGCATGAGAGACTGGAGAAACCCCTGGTACTATAATGGGACATGAGGGACTGGAGAACCCCCTAGTACTACATTGTATAATGGGGCATGAGAGACTGGAGAAACCCCTAGTACTATAATAGACCATGATGACGGGAGAAACCTGTAGTACTCTAATGGAACATGAGGGACTGGAGAAACTTGTAGTACTATAATGGGACATGAGGGACTGGAAAACCCCCTAGTACTACATTGTATAATGGGACATGAGGGACTGGAGAAACCCCTAGTACATGTACTATAATGCGACATGACGGACTGGAGAAACTCCTAGTATTATAATGCATGGGACATGAGGGACTGGAGAAACCTGTAGCACTATAATGGGACATGAGGGACTGGAGAAACCCGTAGCACGATAATGGGACATGAGGAACTGGAGAAACCCCTAGTACTATAATGGGACATGAGGAACTGGAGAAACCCCTAGTACTAGAATGGTACATTAGGGACTGGAGAAACTCCTAGTTCTATAATACATGGGACATGAGGGACTGGAGAAATCTTTAGCACTATAATGGGACATGAGGGACTGGAGAAACCCCTACGACTATAATGGGACATGAGAGACTGGAGAAACCCCTAGTACTATAATGGGACATTAGGGACTGGAGAAACTCCTGGTACTATAATGGGACATGAGGGACTGGAGAAAACCCTAGTACTATAATGGGACATGAGGAACTGGAGAAACCCCTAGTACTATAATGGGACATGAGAGACTGGAGAAACCCCTAGTACTATAATGGGGCATGAGGGACTGGAGAAACCCCTAGTACTATAATGGGACATGAGAGACTGGAGAAACTCCTGGTACTATAATGGGACATGAGGGACTGGAGAAACTCCTAGTACTATAATACATGGGACATGAGGGACTGGAGAAATCTTTAGCACTATAATGGGACATGAGGGACTGGAGAAACCCGTAGCACGATAATGGGACATAAGGAACTGGAGAAACCCCTAGTACTATAATGGGACATGAGAGACTGGAGAAACCCCTAGTACTATAATGGGACATGAGGGACTGGAGAAACTCCTGGTACTATAATGGGACATGAGGGACTGGAGAAAACCCTAGCACTAAAATGGGACATGATAGACTGGAGAAACCCCTAGTACTATAATGGGACATTAGTAGCTTCATAGATATGTTAAATACAATGGTAATGTCCATACACTCAGACAGAAACTGTAAAATAATTTCTTTAAAAGGAAACATTTAAAATCTTTATATCTGACAAAGAAAAAGATATACAACAATAATATACAAAGCTTAATATAAAAAGCATGCATGTAATGTATGCATGATAGATTTAAGAAGGAATAAATCCTTACTTTAAAAATGTCAGATTCATGGTGGTTATCAAGGATGAGATTTGGTAGACACTTCTTCCCGAAGTTGATATCTAAATTTAAGAAAAAGAATATGGATGATAAACAACAAACCAGGTAAAATATTTAGTCCTAAATCTGGACTGATACTTCGATATTTAACAGTGGTCACAGAAAGGAATGAGGTTCTCTGACCCTTAAATTAGGGCAATGTGTGCAGTTTGTAAGTTGTTGGCAATACATTGCATTAATTGTTATCAAAATCTATGACTTTTCCATGAATCAATGAAGTTTTATAAGTGCAGATGAAATGAATTTTGAAAACAATGTTACCTAAGTCAAAAGGTCAAACAGAGTTATTCCAAAATATTGCTTTGATGTGAACTATAGTCTGCATATATATATATCTGTTAATATAATCTAATACAAATAACTTTACTTTTATGATATGACATTGTAATATCTAAATTTCAATTGATCAAGCTAATCATTTCTTCTTTAATACTGGAGGCCACTTACCTTTAAATTTCCCAATGCACCCATTACAATCAATCTTTTTACAGCCCCAGTAGGCGTGGCAAAAGGCTCTGTAGCATAGCTTACCTGTAGGATATCAATATTAATTCATTTGTCATCACTACCATGTGTAGTACAATTGATAATTGGGAGATGGGACTTAGGATATCAAAAATCTTCAACAGCTGAACAAATTAACTCATTCACCCCTGAAATTTTCATAATGAACTATTCCAACCTTTGAATTGGAAGAGTTCAAATGTGTCTTCAAATGAGTTCAGGTGTTTTGTTACTTCATCAGGATATCCCAATTTATTTACATATCATTAGGGAGGTATGCTAATAAACTCCTAATTGGAATATGCATAATATATATATGAATAGTGTTGCAATTTCCTGAATGCGTGACAGTTGATTACTTCCTCAGGTACAATGTATGGTGTGAATGTGTTCATTGTACTTCGGAGAATAAAGGCAAAGAATGTCTTCATTATTAACAAGTATCCCTAGCAGAAGAAGTCTACAATGTCAACCGGTGAAGGAATACATATATATATGTATGACATCGCCAACACATATACAGAATTGTTGAATCATCAATGCACTCAGTCTTCGTGTGTTACGGATATTTAAAATAAAATAAAAGAGACATCTAACAAATTTGCTTAATTGATTAATTCCTTTAAATACACGTTGACATTTAAATATCGCCAAAAAAATGTTACATCCTGGGTATTGTCACCACCATCATCATCATCATCATCATCGTAAGATTGGATACAACTAAAACTTGCTGACAGTTGGTTATAATTATCAGGGTTTAACGTCCTATCAACAGCTAACTGGACGTGACTTGCTGATTCATGTTGAAATGTGTACACCATACATTTTATATAAGATTTAATTGGGCCATCCCCATACTGTTTTTTTGCAATTTCTGTATTTCACAATGATATATACATAAATGTTCTGAAATGGTTTCAGGTGGTTATATATTGTAGGTAATATTCTATTCTAATGAAAGGAAAGTTTAACATGACTTGTACAATGTTCCTGTAAATAATTAACATTCCTTCTGCATTAACCTTCCATCTAATAGCAATACATTACCTTACAGATACATTTATATAGGGGTCTCAAACCTTGGTACGAACTAAGTACACATACTGGTAATATATGATATTTTTCATAATCTGCTGAAAGTGCACATGTATCTTACCAAAATATGACATTAAATGTATACACTAAAAGTACATGTTATTAAATGATAATATGAAAGTACGATAAAAAATGTCAGTGTCTACCTCTGACAAAGATGGTCTATGATACCGTGATAGTGCATGTGTCACCCACTAATGGTTTGAAAATTGGCAATAATTGTGGAGAGAGTTGTCATCATGTCGCCAATCTTTGAGGAGTAAATCTGATGTGAAATGTGAACTGGTTATTATTACCTCTTAGTATTGTCTGATACTGACTCCACTGTCTGATACTAACTCATTTGTTTATCATACTTCATCTTTACTCTTAACAGGAATGTGAATGAAAACAAGAGGCCCATGGGCCTAAACGGTCACCCGAGTCCTACAGTATTTATTTTTGTTGTTGAAATATGTACCAATTTGAGTACAAAATAGTTAAGTATAACGTTAACTTAAGTTTGTCAGGACCATGAGCTGATCATTCCTACAAAGTTTCAGTTAAATCGGCCCAGCAAAACTTGACTTAAAGTTTGAAATAGTTTTTCAAAATGGCGGCCGTATCGATCGGCCATATTGGATTTCTGATCGACTCGAAAAATAACAATACTTTGTCAGGACCATGAGTCGATCATTCCTACAAAGTTTCAGTTTAATCGGCCAAGTAGAACTTGACTTTAGGTTTGAAATAATGTTTCAAAACGGCGGCCGTGGTGGCCATATTGGATTTCTGATCGACCCTAAAAATAACAACACTTGGTCAGGGAGATGTCAGTAACCTTCCCATGAAATATTAATGAAATCCCTTTGCCAGTATTTCAGCTTAAGTTGAAAATGTAAAATGTTAACAGACGACGGACGATGGACGACGGACAACGTTAACAGACGACGGACGAAGACAGATAGCAATAGGTCACTTAAGTGAGCTAAAGCTCAGATGACATAAAAACCAGCTAATTTCCTTACTGATGTTGCTACACCTACTAAGTGAAAACTGAGTAACACTAACAATATAACAGGTGATTAGATAAGGACTGTACTGTACTACACGTACCATATAACAGGCCATTAGATAAGGACTGTACTGTACTACAAGTACCATATAATAGGCCAATAGATAAGGACTGTACTGTAATACACGTAACATATAACAGGCCATTAGATAAGGACTGTAATGTACTACACGTAACATATAACAGGCCATTAGATAAGGCCTGTACTGTACTACACGTAACATATAACAGGCCATTAGATAAGGCCTGTACTGTACTACACGTAACCTATAACAGGCCATTAGATAAGGACTGTACTGTACTACACGTAACATATAACAGGCAATTAGATAAGGACTATACTGTACTACACGTAACATAAAACAGGCCATTAGATAAGGACTGCACTGAACTACAAGTACCATATAACAGGCCATTAAATAAGGACTGTACTGTATTACAC